TCTTAATGAACAGCAAAAGGTGTAATGCGTTGGGGCATAGATAATAATTACGTATGGTTGGAGTGAGTCACGATAGATCTTTGTGTCGTCTGCAAATAGCTTAATAATCGAGGTAACACGTCTGGTAAGTCATTTACATAGATTAAACATAAAATAGGCCCAAGGATGGTTCTTGAGGTACTTTTGATATCACGAATGAAGGCCAATCTGAGTATGTTCTACGTATTACAACCTTTTGTTGGCTATTTGTCCAAAAGTTCAGTTAGCTATAACAACTGCAGCGGCCCATCAATACCACATCCGTTGAGCTTCAGAAGTAGGCGCTTGTGGGGCACATCGAACGCCTTCGACAGGTCTAGAAAAATGGCATGTTGTTTTTGAGTTGTTCCTTGCGTTACCTTTACTTCTCGATAATTAAAGATACACTTGCAAAATAATCTGTTCACATTTTGCTCTTTTCTTCGGTTCTGTTAGACACATTGATCAAACTTAAAGGCAGTCTTGCAATAATCTTGTAAATCATACATATATATCATATGCAGATGCAAAGCTAATTAATTTAAGAACCAGGCTCCGATATTCGTCTTCGGCCAGTGATTAGGCAGCAGCCATAACTGACTATTAAACTGATCTTCTAGACGGACGTTCACTTGAAGATTATTGAATACCCGTAAGCTAGACGAGGGCTTTTATGATCAGAAAAATGAACGGGCCATTAATTGGTATGCCTCATAACCAGCTTTGTTTATATCCTGTTCTAATTCTTGCTTACTTCTTGCTGCCGCCTGGTAAGTGTTGAAGGCTTGACATTGAGAGAGAATATATTAATGTTCTGCATTCCAAATTTAATGTAGATGATGTAGTGAACTGATGCGCGATTTGTTTAATTGTTCCACGCAATATCTTTAAGCTAAGAAGTCCCAAGTTACATATATCCATGAAGTGAATTGAAACCTAGTATAGCGTGACCTCCAGATAGCTAAAAAAGTAATATATACAATATAAGTGGCGTGTTGCAACGATTTTCAACGAACTCATTAATAATTCATGAGGAAAGCACAACAGAAATCATGACCGTGAAGAGGTTTATAATTCTGATGCAGAATCATTATTATTTGCATAAACTTGGATTTTCTTTGCCAGATTCACTTTTATCTTAAAGTTTTCTTAGTGAAACACAAAGGAACTAACCTAAAACATTTTAAAGCAATATACAATATTTGTGTCCATGTTGTATCCGATATACAAACGCTCGGCTACGCCTCGAGTTTATGCAATAGATCAAAGATGAGTTCGAGTGTTTGATCAGGGCATCCAAATACCATGAAACAGATGCTTTTATCGTTTCAAGGTGTTTGGATGCCCTGATGATACACGAAGCACGAGTTTTTGACTTCTCAAACTCATTATAATTCATTTGTTCTTGAATCTCGTGAGACTAAAAATTCCTTCGCAATAATTCATTTATTCGTCAGTGTTTTGATCAGTGTCTTGATCCGTTTTTAGTCCAGTATCAAGAGTGCGTGCACGTGACCACAATGCAAAGTCGCCATTGGTCATTGACCTCATGAATTATTAATGAGATTGAGAAATATTGTATAAAACATAAATAAGAGAAGGAAACCTCTTAATAACGCGCGTGCCATTTACGCACGGGAGTGGGGTAAGGCAAAAACTAAACTGCATCCGGTGGCTAACAATAGCCCAACAGGGAATTTACATGGCGCGCGCGTTATTAAGAAGTTTCCTTCTGTTGTTTATGCTCTCTTGATATATTACATTATCAATACAATCCATTGTTATGAYAAACCCTGTCTGCGAGTATTGGTCCACGGACTATTTAAATATTCTCCGCATAGATTATCTACCACTCTTCGCAATAAATCGTTCAAGAGCACAACTGTTTGCTTTGTAGCCCTCCCGACCCACCCTCATAATCTGTGTTCGGTGATGACCCTGTCTTCTTCAATGTCGGGTTTCCTTTGCGCATTTCCTTATGGTAAACCACCATGTCCTTTTGGGGGAAACATATACGAATCTGGAAGCAGTATGGGGCAAAAGCTCCCGACCGACATGACACTTGCGTCGTATTTACAAACGATCCTGTGTGTTTAACTCCATATCTAATTATGATAACAATTACTTTACTTCACTTTACTTACTTTAATGGTTATACAGCAGAAAGAAAAAAAATGCTATGGGGAGAACCTGAAACAGGAAATGAGCTTCCCTTATCGAGCAGGCTACCCAGTACATACAAAGAGAACAAAAGCTATGAGAAAAATGGAATATATATGTATATATACATGCATGCATGCATACACGGCAACGAGCAGAGACTCAGCTCCACCCCAACGACATAACATCAAAAAAAATGGACCAGAACCTCCGCGCTACGCCGCACACACATACACATACACACATACCCTTGGAATTGACTGATACATAATCTATCAAGTACTAGTACCAAGGTAACTTAAATGATGGTCATTGGCGCATTTATTCATTGGTATAATTTTTAAAAAGTGTTCAAAATCCCAGAGACAGTT